AGGAACATGATAAAGCATTTCGGCAGCTCAAGAAGAATCTGGTAAGTGCACCTGTACTCTGGAATCCAGACTTCACATTGGTGTTTGTTGTACAAACTGACGCAAGCGTCAGAGGACTGGGGGCGGTCTTATTGCAGGAGAAGGATACAGAGTATCAACCAATCGTTTACCTCAGTAAAAAACTACTTCCCAGGGAACAGCATTTCGCCGTTGTGGAAAAAGAATGCTATGCGATTGTATGGGCGGTGCAGCGTCTGCGAAACTACTTGTATAGTAAGCATTTCATCATAGAATCGTATCACAGAGCGTTGCAGTGGCTTAAGACGATGAAGTCCCAAAATCCTAGACTTCTTCGTTGGAGCCTGGTTTTACAAGAGTTCAAGTATACAGTGAGGCATATTCCGGGGAAAGACAACAAATTGGCCGACTTTCTGTCAAGGGCTTGTTAGTTGATGGGTCAATTTGATTTAGATTTATTTGCAATATTGTTAATATTGGCAAATAAATGGGGGCGTATGTGAAGAAGTTGTTTTGTTTTCTGTATATATTACTAGAATTTAAATTTTGTTCTAACGGGGTTTCATACTTTTGAGACTGTTTAATAATAATAATAATAATAATAATAATACTTTATTTAAAGAGGGTGACTCAATTAGTGCGAGCACTATTCTTCCTTGAGGCCCTCTATAAAAATACATATATAATACACAATGATAAATAGTACATTCAACAATGTTATATATTACACAACATACAATAATAATACATGCATTAATTATTTCAATAATACAGTCCACAGATATACAATTATATAATAATTTAAGTTGAACGTTGGTCTATTATAAATTTTCTTGACTTGATTTTAAAATTTTGAAGTGATGGAGACATTCTTATATTTATAGGTAAATTGTTCCACAATACTGCACCCGAATATTGAAAAGAATTTTGAAATAATTTGGTTTTGTGCTTTGGAACACACAAGTCAAAATTAGATTCAGATCTTAGATGGTAAGAATTGGTTGATTGGTAATTGAACATTTCAGACAGGTAATATGGACTTGCACCGTAAAGCGTTTTATATACTAATACTAACTTATTTAGAGTCAATTGCTCGTGTACTGATAGCCAATCAAGTTTTTCAAATAAGGGTTTTGATGGCGTGTCATAGGCAGCATCTAAGATACAGCGAGCTGCCCGTTTTTGTAATTTGTGAATCCTCTCGAGGCTAGAGGCTGATGCATTTCCCCAAATTGTTAAACAGTATTCAATTGATGGCATTATATAAGCATTATAGAATAACTTTCTTGTGTTTAATGGAAGATATTTCTTAATTCTTCGTAATACAGATATCTTTCCAGATACAGATTTACAAACAGCATCGATATGTGTATTAAAGTTAAGTGAATTATCAATATGAATTCCAAGTAATTTTTCATGTGTGACATTCTCAAGAAAATGATCTGAAATTTCTAATATTAGATTTTGGTTTGTCTGTTTTGATCGTCTCTGATGTGTGCCTATCAACATGCATTTTGTTTTACTAGTGTTCAAAATCATCTGATTCTGAGAACACCATGTTTCAATATTACTTATGTCCGAAGATAACATGTTTTGAATGGAAGAAACATTGCTGTCAGAAAAGTGAAGAGTAGCGTCATCTGCAAATAAGTCTATGTTTGATTTCTCTATGAATAATGGGATATCATTGATGTAAAATAAGAAAAGAAGTGGACCTAAAATTGATCCCTGTGGCACTCCCGCTGTGACTAACTGTTTTTCAGATTTAATATTTCCAAGTTGAACACTCTGAAATCTACGGTTTAAATATGATTCAAACCATTGTACTGCTTTGGGGTCAAAATTGTAGCAACGTAGTTTTTTGATCAAAATATTATGATTCACAAGATCAAAAGCCTTGCTGAAATCAAGAAAGGTTACGCCGACAAGTTCGCCAGTATCCATTGCTTGTAGCCATTCATCAATTAGTTTAGTAAGAGCAGTTTGGCATGAGTGAGATTCTCTGAAACCTGATTGTGATTTGCAAAGTAGATCGAAATCTGATAAGAATTTACGGATATGATTAGCAACATGTTTTTCAATTAGTTTCGACAAAGTGGGGAGGATGGATATTGGCCTATAATTACCAGGATCAAGTCTATCTCCTTTCTTGTATATTGGTGTTACCTTTGCAAATTTTAGTTCATTTGGAAATATTCCTGTAGAAATACTGACATTGATTAAATGAGTGATAGATTTGTATATGGCTGGTGCAGCATGTTTCAGTAGACGTGGACCTATGGTATCGATACCAGCCGATTTATTTACATCAAGTTTGTTTAATAGAGTTAACACTTCATTTTCATGTATAAGGGGAATGCTAAATTTATTACCACATTCAAGCTTGGTATTTGTAAATTGCATTAATTTCTCGTAGTCAAAATCTTTTCGAGCAATATTCGAGATAAGTTTTTCCGATATACCCGTGAAATGATTGTTAAAAATTTCAACAATTTCTTGAGTGTCCTCAGTGATGTTATTATTGTCAGAAATAGTCATCGGTACAAAATTATGTGATTTCGATGCTAGTTTATTCAGTGTGTTCCACATTTGTTGTGGATTTTTACTTTGCTCGATAGTTGACCTATAATAATTGATCTTTGCAGTGTCTATAAGAGCCGTGACCTTGTTTCTCCAGATTCGGAAGTTTTCAAGGTCACCATTTTGATGGAAACTGTCACGCATATGTTGCGCCTTAGTGATTTCTGGTGTTAACCATTTAGGGCGATTATCGTTTTTTACTCGCTTAGTTTTAACCTTTGCATGTTTGTCCAATACTTTGTTAAATAGGACATAAAATTTTCTCAAAATTTCATTTGGGTCACATATGCTTTCCAGTGTTGTAAAATTAGCACTATATAAATCATTCAAGAAATTTTGTTCATTGAAGTTTTTAAAGCATCTGTATGTTATCTCAGTGTGCTTTCCTTTATGTAAGGATTTATTTGTTTTTCTTGTGAAACACACTGGGTAGTGGTCTGACAAAGCAATGGGGGGCACTTGAATTTCACACATGTTTTCAGGTAAATTAGTGTAAACATGGTCAATGAGTGTACCTGATGTATTTGTAATTCTAGTTGGTTTTTGAATTACTTGTGTTAAATCAAACTCTTCTAGAGCAGAGGCCCAGTACCGAGGGGGGTCTTTGAGCAGTTTAGTCACTGGTATATAAAGGGACCGGTTTGGTTAGTTTGGTGAGAGCTAGTCTGGTGTCCGGTAGTTTGACCAGGCGGAGGTGTGCCACGTTTGCAGTTTCCCCGGCATGATTATACAAGTAGCGAATATTTTCAGTGAGATATAGCACCGAATATTTAAGGGGTAGCCATATAACTTGTCAGGAGGATTATTGCAGCGTGTTTGTGCAGTTCTAGCCGGTAAGAGTGTTCGAGTAATGTATATAGTTTGTTTGCTGTTATAAATTTCCGGTTTCAGTTGTATTTTAGGTTAGGTTTTTGTAAATATAAATTACTTTCAGTGCGTAAGGGGTTTGGAGACGAATTATTGATCTATGGGCGTACTGAGGGTCGGTTGACGAGGTGTGAAGCTTGTTGACGAGTTTGGTATGGAGGGCCACGTGCGTCATATCCAACGTCGACACTGATAAGGGCGTGGTAGGATAACTGGAGCGGGAGGCTAAGACCCAGGGCTTTGCGAGTTAGGAACTTCTATTTTGTGGACCACGGAACTTGGTGTGACGTTGACGTTACTTGTATGGCGAGAGCGCCGTGGGGCATTTTCTAGGACACGTGTCTCTGACCTGATTTGTGAACCAGAACTTTGAGTAACTTTCAGTAGTGAATAACAGAACACTTTTACATTTGAAAAGATATTATTTTTATTTGTAGTTAATTGAGCTTTTTCGAAGTATTAATTGAAAAGACTGAATTAAGTTGGTGAATTTTACCTTTTTGATTTAAAATCTGATAATTATTGACTCAGCATTATAGCATGTAATATTCAACTTTATTATAGCTTATGTAAAGTATCAGAAGTTGTTTAAGCTGAGTTAACAGTTCATATCTATTTCATTTCCGGTGTGTGAGCTGGTATGTGAGAGTGAGTGAGGTTTATTGTATCTAATTTTTTTTTTATTTATGTTAATAAACTTATTTGTTATTTCTGATTGATATTGTTTTTCTTCTCAACCCTGCAAAATCTAAAAAGAACTCATGACAGTTACATTAATTTCAAATCAACTAAAGGATGAAAATGAATATTGTTATTAGATAAAACGTTGTGGATATATCTCAATAGATCCGTGCCTTGAAGAGACAAAGAAGACCTGGAGTAAAGCCTCACAAAGCTGTAACTTATTGGTATCCAACACAGCTCTCCCTGTCGGTGTTCCCATTACAGATATCCCTGTTCTCAAGCACAGATCTTCTTTGTCTGAGGATGTTCATTGGATAGGGGCAACAGGAACATTCACAGCATGGTTTGAATTCGCAGGTGGTTTGATGTTTATTATAGATTTGTGATTATTTAATTCATTTGCACTCAGGGTAGGTTATGAAAAAGGAAACAAACAATTAAAAAGAAAGGGAAAAAAAGTAAAAGAGAATACTCCTCTCCTCGGGAATAAAAACAAAACTTTTTTGATAAAATGAAGCAGATAAAATATTGCAGAAATTTGGTCATACGTATAATTTGTTGTTTTCAGGGTCCCGAAAAAAAAACTCTACCTTTACGTCATTTAAAGTAATTTGTCTATTTCTTCAGGATGCAACCTGTATTTTAAGTTCTCATTCACTAAACAATGGATGCCCCGTTCAAAACTTGGTCCTGTGGCTCAATGTCATCTAATATGTGAAAACTGGAGGAACAACTACAAAGAAATCGGAATAAACGTAAGTAGTTGTCGTGTCTTATTTTTGTTATTGTTTAGTCTACGCCTTAATTCATGAAAGGATATTTTATTGAGTTTTATCTACTAAAAGGGGCTGGGTGATCGTGGCCATTTTCAGACTATTTTGATCACCTTTAGAAGAAGAGTTCCATATAAAGATATAGAAAAATAATCAAATTCTAAATTTAAAAGTTATGACATTTTTCTTTGCCAAATAATAGTTGACAGCTTAAGATATCATATGTAAAAAATGATTACTGTAATTGGAATACTTAGTTTTCAATTTCATCGATATTGAGACGTTTCAAAAGAAAGATATTAAAGTTTGTTTATTTTAAGGCAAAATTGTACAACGATATGGTACACGAGTTTAAACAGCTTAGGTTAATTTTGACATCGTTAAAGAAGCATGGTTTTAATAATTAGCAATTCATTGTAGGAAACTCATTGCTTTTGCGCAGGTTATAATAATACGGTTGTCATTAAAAAGTTAACCTGTGATCAAAACAATTCAAAAAACTTCAAGAACGACTTAATCGGAACTGGTACCGATCAGAGAGTGGGAAGGGGAAATTATGTATTTGCCTCATACAGGAAAGTTAGACTAACTACAAAAATAGGTAAAGTTGTTACTCAAGAAAGAATTTGTAGTAATTCAAAATAAAAATCCTTTAATTTGTTATCATAAAAGAATAAAAAACTGTTACTTTCACTATTTCATTCTATAACTTTTTTCTTTATGTAGCAAAATATCTTAATCACATTCTTTAGCTCAAAATGTGCATATATATATATATATATATATATATATATATATATATATATATATATATATATATATATATATATATATATATATATATATATATATATATATATATAATGTTCATAGATGAATATTTCTCTTTACAGATGACACATTAGACGAGTGTCTGCTGGAGACAAATGAAGGATATAAGACGTATCCTTGTGATTCAGCAGGTTTGTAGAACTAGTGTAGATATAACTACTTGACTAAATCATTGTATCTAATTTGTTCATCGTTACAATTTTATTGTTAGATATTACACAACGTACATGGATTCAAAGATATCGAAATGAGATAAAAAATAACGGTCTTTCAAGATGGACCCCTTATGTCCGACGATTAATTATCAGCTGGACGAAAGGTAAGAACACACTACTGTCTTGAAATCTTTTATGTGAACAATTCCATTAAATGTCGGACTTTTTGGAATGTGTATTTTTATGCCATATGAAGTAGATTGCAACACATCACCATCAATTAAAGATATAGCATTATATCCTCTATTAAGGAATGTCTTGGAATTTTTTCCCATTCTCCAATTTGTGTGTCCCTATCTTAAGGATTTCATGTATTTTTACATGTAGTCCTGGCTTTTACCCCTTTAACAACACATATATACTAGTAATGTAAGATTAAATTAATTGTTCGAGGATTATTTATCAAATCTGATCCCCTCTGGTGTTTCCAAGGCCCATGTTCTCTTTTTGATTCGTTGTTTTTTTTAGCTTCTAATTTTAAAATCGTTTTTCCAATTCATTATAACACTATCATTTTTCGTATTTTACATATTTCTACCAGATAGCAGTGCTGTACAGAATACTTCAGTATGTATCGCGGTCCGTGACCAGAATGGATCTTATGAACCGTTACCTCGACGCTGTGACGAAACTCATACCTCCATATGCAAGAATGCTGACTCAACGACAGGTTACTGTATAATATCTCTTACGTTTTATATATGTTTAGAGCCCAATAAAAGATCAATAAGAATAAAGTTAGAAATGAACAAAAGAAAATGAAAAGAAAAAAAAACAAACAAAAAAGAGCAGAAAGAGATAAAACTCTCCCAAAATCAAAAAAAGTGCACCAAAAAACATAATAATACTTGATAGTTTTTGGTGTGCACGTTATTGAGTGATATATTTTATATCTAATATAGGTACGGTACAGATACAATAACCACATTATATTTATTTAATCTTTCTTTAAAATTGTAAATAGTTTATATATTTTAAATTTAGGAACAAATACACCGAGGACGTCAAATTCTAACTTTGAAACAGAGAGAGGACAAACAACGGATGTTCATCAGATAGAAGGTTCAGCATTGTACATCTGAAAATTAATATAACATATAATTGTTTTGATAAGAAGTTGTGGACCCGATCAATGATAGAAAGGTGTTCCTTCTCGAGTTTATTTGGGATGTAGAGAAATAGAAATATTATCTTTGTGATTTATGAAAAAAATCTTGAAATCCAGATTCGAACTTGAAATGAAATGCATTCCTCTTAATTTATTTTAACAGTTTAATTTTCTTTCAATTTCTATTTTACCGAATGTATATCTTATGCATTATATATCTTTTAATAATAAATATTAACCATTTCTAAACCTAATGATTGATTTTATTTTAAAACAGATAGAACTACATAGCATACCACAAGCTCTGATCTCAGTTCATCTATGAGGCACACGACATTTGTGCACAACATAGCATCTACCACTCCCTTTAATCACCACAAGGACCAGGACGGTCAAATTATTTCCTAACTAATGTTTTCACAATATTCTTTTAAAATCTCAGTTGATTCGATATGCAAGAACATGCTCTACCTATGAACAATTTCTAAAACGAGGTAAATTATTGACAAACAAGTTGATAAAACACGGATTTTTTCGTTATTTCTTGATAATGACAAGGAGAGCACGGCGGTTGTGACCTGTCGGCAGGAGATGCTTACTCCTCCATTGCACCTGATCCCATTTCTGATATTTTGGAGGTCTGTGTTTGCTCTGCTCCTATTTTGTATTGTTTTATAGACTTTTGATCTTGAATACTGTTCGTTATCTACATGTTACATTTCATCGATTAATAATGTAACCATAAGAAACAGCATGCTCTGCTTTTAAGTTAACATTGCATGCTCCAAAGACTTCATGCATCGCATTTTATCGGATATTACATTATAATAATACAGTTCAGATTATACAAAACTGCGAAATCTGTTAAAGCTATTGTAGAATGTTATTTATTTAACTGAAAATATATGTTAAATCCTATAATAAGAATGAAAAGGCCAAATTACAGTTCGATATTGCAAATGAAAAAAAAAATTATGAAGATTTTTTAACCTGGAACTTAAACAAACGGATATCAAACAAAGCAGAATTTATGAATTGCAATTTGATAAATATTTAGATTGGTTTTTATGGAATTTTTTTTTCGTTTGTTAACTTCCCTTTTCGAATTTTTAAATCATACGCAATTAATTACCAGTGGACAGCTGTATTCAAGTTCAAGTTAAATTAATATATTCATTCCAATTAATGGTAAATGATGTTCTATGTTCAATTTATACATAGCAGTATACGATCTACGTGAAATGGCAAAAATACATCCAAATTATAAAGTTAGCAACAAAAATTATTATGTAGGGTAGACTTGTTCATATACTCTATTTATGTAGCTGCATAGTTTAATTAATACCTTGGTGTCAGCAGTTGACAATAAATCTGAGAATTTGTATAAAAAAAAAAAAAAAAAAAAAAAAAGATATATGTCACAGTATTAATTAGGTATATGCATTTTTTGCATTCTGAAAAAAAATATGGTAAAATATAGTAATACTCATCTGCTGCTTGTCAATTATAACACAACTTTCGAAGTCTTTCATTTTGGGGGGGGGGGGATTTCAAACCATCTCCGACTCAACTGGGAAACGATGATTTGCTTACCCGGTTATTAGAAAAAAAAACATTTTTCGATTTTTTTCGGTAGAAAATCTACATATTTTTCAAGTCCTGTTTAGAAGATGCTTTACATATGACCTTTAGACGAAGTTTTGCCATTTCTGTATGTACTGATCTTTATGACGTTCAAATCTAGCTTTTAGCCATTTTATATCATGTCATACATTTGAGAAGACACAAGTACAATGTATCAAGTATATTCTTAATGCATAAAATCCAACGGTTCTTATGACTCCCTGAATAAAATTCTCCAAATGAATGCTTATAATTAACATAAAGAATCTTATTTCCAGAGCTTACTTGTAATTTTGTCCAATGGGCTATCAATCTTATATTACTGTAATATACAAATTGAAGCGACCCTTTTCGCTATAAACCATTGCTCCTTATCATAGTTAAACAATATTGAGATGCATATTCAGAGAAAAATATACAAGCAATACTATTTTCCAAATTAAAAATAATTATTTCAAAAATTAAATTATATTGGTGTTTTAAAAATCCCGTATCATATCTGGTGCGACAACTTTAACGAACAAATCAAGCTGGCAGTCTTCTGGTAAATGAAATTGTCTAATTTTTCGTACAACTCCGTTAAGCAGTGAAAAGTCGTTCGTGCTGTCACGTTCTGTGTTATGGAACCTCGACTAACATGGTTTTATCCGATGATTGGTCTCTTCGCTGCATTGTAGGATTCGATTCCGTGACGTAAGGGTCAGCTACTTACTTTGAGAGTCTATAGTAAAACATTCTAACCAATGCACCATTCAAGCATGTATGTAATATTGATTTACAATTTTAAAATACTTGGTTTGGGAATGATCATTTTATCATTTAAACCATAATCATCTTCGTAATTTTCCATTTAATGCGAAAAAGGGCAAAAGCATGTAACAACAATAGAGTTTTGTGTAAAAGAAAGTGTTTACAATTATTGTGTAGTACAAGCAATCAAACAAAAAAGAGAAAATGAAGCAAGATGAATAAATTTAATAAAATTAAAATAAATAAAAATCTAGAAAAAATTTAGTTAACTTAAAGAGACACTGTGACTCACACTGGGGTAAATTGACAAACGTAGAATTTTTGCATGACTTGAGTAAATTTTGTTCAATTCCTAAAAGTATTAGGTTTCAGAAAATCACAGGTTTTAGAACATAAAAATCTATTTTTATTGAGAAAATTAAAAGTTAAAAAAATTTCAGTATGCCCCATAATATAAATAAAATGAAAATGAAAAAAAATTGCATATAACTTTTTCCTCCCTATTGTACGCTTGCGCTGAAAAGTTGAATAAGTAACCATAGTTACCATGGTCTCAAGTACACAGGAATGAATGTAAGTAGACCGACAATTTTGATGCTCTCTTTTCAAAAAGTTACAAGAACATATTTCTAATCTTTCCATGCTCCAGTTGAATGTTGTTTACAAGTTTGAGATAAAAATAACAGTGGTGTGACCTTGACATACACAAATACAACGAAACGGTAGAAACAAGCGTTCTTTTCCCGGCACTTATACTATGCAGTCTTTTCTTGCTTTACAGTGCAATTTAATTTTCATATCTTCGCTATATATTCATAATTTTCATAAGTCTTTCTCTGTATGCTACAGATATCTTATAAGAAACACATGATTTTGACTTAATATTTTAAAAATAAAAATAAAAATTCAATCAAACCATTTATTTCTCGTTCTTTCAATACAATGTATATTCTATTGCATGAAGGATATGGAGATAACGTACAGTATTCAATATCAAAGCCCATGAAACAATACAAAATAGGAGCAGAGCAAACACAGACCTCTGAAACATCAAAGCTGGGACCAGGTGTCATCGAGGAGTGAGCATTCCCTGCTGCATGATTAAATACCTCCGTCTCTGCATAAAAACTGGTGTATTTATAATTTTGAATAATTGTTATATTTTTAATGCAGGAACAACTACATCACGTACTACAAGATCTAGTTACGGTACATCGAGGAGACAAACGACCTTTTGGCACCGAATAACGGACTCATCTCCTGATGATCTTCAGAATGACAACAAAGGTTACTATGCCAACTAATTTCATACTTTCTATACTTTTTGACTGTTTCCATATAGAAAGATATCTCTACCCACTGGCTTAATGTTAAGTTCAATCAAGAAATATTTGTTTTTTAAAGCAGCTTTTGGGTAGAAATAGAAATGCTATTTTTTCTCACGTGTATATGGATTTTGTTATAACTCGAATTATTTTGACATGCAAGTCATAAAATACAAGTAAGATAAATTTATTTTGACTTTACCTCATTGATATCTTCTCTTACAGCTATATTGTGCGCAAAATATTTGATTTTTTCCGAAAGCAATTCGGAAAGTATAAAACCATCGGTTCCTAGTACGTTTTTAAAATTTGGTTTATCTGTAAAACTTTTATACTTAATAAAAATATTTCTATTAACTTTGCAGTGTCACCGGATTCCAAACTGCCTCTGATCATTGGAAGTGTCCTAGGAGGCCTCCTTTGTATCTTTATTGTCGTAATTATCACCGTCATTTTCATCAAGAGAAGGTATACACGAATTTATTTTTAATTAGTGGTATAGTTGATTTCCTTACAACTCTTAAAATTCTCATGCAAATTTTGTTGTACAAGTATTAGAAACGAGTGAAACAGCAACAAGTATTATTTAGAGAATGAGACGGGTTCTGTATCGTAGATACAAATTTGGAGGTGGATACGAGTGTGCAACACGAGTCTCCACCTCCAAATTTGTATTTACAATACAGAACCTGTCGAGTTCTCTTAATGATTTGTGACACGATCAATAAAAAAAGCTCCGCCCACTTTATAATTTTGCAGCATCCAAACTTCTGCCAGAGTTTTGTAGATGAGGCCCCGACGGGGAGTTCGCATCCCCAGTATATATATTTCCAGGGAAAACGTAAAATTCGGTCAGATTAGTTATGACAATTTAACGGGGTAGACGTAATCAAGTGATAGTCAGTCTTAATGGATAAATTGGAGGATTTAACCGTCATTGTTGTGATGTATTGTTCATGGAGTTTTATGAGACGGGTTCTGTATCGTAGATACAAATTTGGAGGTGGATACGAGTGTGCAACACGAGTCTCCACCTCCAAATTTGTATTTACAATACAGAACCTGTCGAGTTCTCTTAATGATTTGTGACACGATCAATAAAAAAAGCTCCGCCCACTTTATAATTTTGCAGCATCCAAACTTCTGCCAGAGTTTTGTAGATGAGGCCCCGACGGGGAGTTCGCATCCCCAGTATATATATTTCCAGGGAAAACGTAAAATTCGGTCAGATTAGTTATGACAATTTAACGGGGTAGACGTAATCAAGTGATAGTCAGTCTTAATGGATAAATTGGAGGATTTAACCGTCATTGTTGTGATGTATTGTACATGGAGTTTTATGAGACGGGTTCTGTATCGTAGATACAAATTTGGAGGTGGATACGAGTGTGCAACACGAGTCTCCACCTCCAAATTTGTATTTACAATACAGAACCTGTCGAGTTCTCTTAATGATTTGTGACACGATCAATAAAAAAAGCTCCGCCCACTTTATAATTTTGCAGCATCCAAACTTCTGCCAGAGTTTTGTAGATGAGGCCCCGACGGGGAGTTCGCATCCCCAGTATATATATTTCCAGGGAAAACGTAAAATTCGGTCAGATTAGTTATGACAATTTAACGGGGTAGACGTAATCAAGTGATAGTCAGTCTTAATGGATAAATTGGAGGATTTAACCGTCATTGTTGTGATGTATTGTACATGGAGTTTTATGAGACGGGTTCTGTATCGTAGATACAAATTTGGAGGTGGATACGAGTGTGCAACACGAGTCTCCACCTCCAAATTTGTATTTACAATACAGAACCTGTCGAGTTCTCTTAATGATTTGTGACACGATCAATAAAAAAAGCTCGCCCACTTTATAACTTTGCAGCATCCAAACTTCTGCCAGAGTTTTGTAGATGAGGCCCCGACGGGGAGTTCGCATCCCCAGTATATATATTTCCAGGGAAAACGTAAAATTCGGTCAGATTAGTTATGACAATTTAACGGGGTAGACGTAATCAAGTGATAGTCAGTCTTAATGGATAAATTGGAGGATTTAACCGTCATTGTTGTGATCTATTGTACATGGAGTTTTATCATAATTTATTTCAGGGGTCTTAAAATCCCGGTTTAATTAGATTAACAAAAACAGGACGTACAGAAAATTCTTCGATGGACTTTGATGTCACGGATTTAATTTTCAAATTGAATTGCGACATTGAAAACGAAATTAAAGAGATGTGTGGCTGTCGTCAGCGAGAAGGATTTTAGACAATAAAAACGTTTTGAAAAACGACTTGAATGATTTTGCACAAGGAGAGTGGAAGTTTTCCGTTATTGCGAATTTTCCGTTTCGTTTGGATCGAAATTACGTACAGAGGATGTTTTCTGTTATTGTGATTTTTCATTTTCCTTTGGATCGAAATAACGTGTAGATTCTGTGTGAAATAAGTTCTTAAAAAGTGATTGAGAAATTTTGCAATTTTATATTCTCAGGAAAATACTGGGTATTTCTCCAAAATTATAATAGGAAAACATCAGCATTTACTTTTTGTACGTGCTTTTGCTAAATTGAATCAGATTTATTTTTAGACCGTACTGTATTTGAGATACAGAATAGTTGGCAAATACAATACTGTATACAGGGCTAATACAGAACGGAAAGTAGCTCTGCGCACCACTGTCCCGTTCTGTATTGCTAATACAGAACAGTAAACTTCAAAGAAAAACACCGCTATCGTGTCACAAGGAACGTGAAAAATAATTACAAACAAAACCTCAGTTCTTACATATATAATTTAGATTAATTGTCTATGAGTTCTTTCGGGATAATTTGCCCTTTATTTTGTGCTTTTCGTTTTTTTTAAATGGCAAATTCCTATTCTATATAAATTTTCCCTTTAAAAATATTATTTTTGAAATAATTTTGCTTATCTTATATTATTTATTTTGCCAGGCGTCCAAATAGAAAAGAGAAATATCACCCTGCTCCTACAGAGAAAGTTCATTTCAGTGAAATGAAAGAAGACAGGAAACCACATTTATCAATGGAGAAAGAAGAACCATCACCGAATGTAATCACAACAGACTACGATACTATGATGTCCGTCAAAAAAAAGAAGATAACTGATGACTCTGAGGAGTATGGGAAGTTACTGCCTAATGGTGAGACAGACGTGTATAATCACACCTGGGATAAACCAATCACAGAACAGTTTACAGATCACGTGTATAGCTCGACAATATCCGGAAATGACGTAAACGTGTATGATCACACTGTTACTTGTAATACAGTTATAACTAAAGATACTGAAGAGAAAAGAAAATATTAAACAGAAATGATGACAATTTGTATGATCACACAGATACTAATAATACAGAGTTAACTGAAGTCAGTGATGAGAATAGAACACTGTCAACTGGAAATGATTCATTGTATCTTAACATAAGCTAAATATTTGACAAAATCGAATGGTGGAAAGTATGGCTAACCGATATTAAATGCTAGTAACACCGGTAGTTTCTTCATATTTGACCACCATATGGAATATGCTAACTTACTGAAGTTCTCAACTAAGAATTTTGGCCTAATTGCATACAAAACAATGTCTATAAACCTTTAATAAAAAAATATTAGACAAACCATTTATTTTAGAAATTATTAATTATCACTCACTTTTGGGAAGTTTAATTACGTCAGGTTTTGTTTTGCATTAATATCTTTTCAATTTTGAATGTTAAAGATTTCAGGGATATACTTTTATTATTTATGTGAAAAAAAGCGGGGTTCGCTTTATACATAAAATATCAATTAATTAACTAATCACCCTCTTTCCCATTTCATATATCAAAATAAAGTATACACTTGGTGCTTTCATTTCCTATAATAACATTTCTTTTTGAGAATCAAGATATTGGAAAACAGGCTTTGAGAAATTGCAATGTTCTTGAAATTTGCAGAAAACATGTGTATTTGACTACCTTCAGCAAAGAATTAAAATATAAGCACAGCCCACGATCCAAAAAAAAGCATGTTTTTTTATCTTAAGAAACAGACCTTTTAATATGTATTTGCATATTTTGGAGCAGAGGGTGTGCTCTATATGAAATATTGAAAAAGAACACTTCAATTATAGGTAATTTTCAAAGGAATTTATAGGATATTAGGAAAATGGCGCATATTATGACGTCATAATGCATTGACTAGAGGGAAAATTACATCATGATTAATAGATACGTGGTCACCAACATTCCCAGTAATAAATACTGTATTTGCAACCTAAACAGAGCGGTTTTGATTTTTCAGAAATTCTCAGGGCCAAAGAAGGCCCAAAGTGGCTCTTGCTCTTTCAATACCGATCATATCTGAAAATTTGATGTTTATTAGCAGTCCAAAAGTTTGGACTTCTGATTTGAATGATTACTGTTTTACTTGTTTAAAATGAGTTACAATTTATCCCTTGTGGTTAATTAAAAAAATGATATTTTTATGTTATGAATATGTATCATTATTAATATTGATATCTTAATTTAAAAGTTTTGTATAAAAAATGTACTTGTTGTTCTAAAACTGGTGTTTTCTTATGTTTCTAAGTCTTTAAGTATCAGAAAATGAGATTAATTGTTTGCAATTGTTAAAAAAACTTGATAAACAAGATGTGTTTGTGAAACACAATGTCCCCCTGTGGCAGATTATTGTGAGGATAGAAATTTATCAAATGCAAGTCAAAATCCAAATCAAGGCCAGCCAGTCAAAATTGTTGGTATCCAAAGGAAGATCTTGTCAAGAGTAATAAACCTTTGTGATATGAAAGCCTTAATACAAACAATTCAAAAGTTATGGCCAAGGTTAATTTTTTTTGTTCATATTATGTCAATCCTTAAGGTCAAAGTAAGAAGAAAATGTGTACCCTTTGAAATGTGTTGTCGCAATAAAAACAAATCTATTCAAAGGGCATGGTCAAGGTTAAAGTTAAGTAGTTTTTTTTGTTAAAGTCGGTCGAGCTCCAAGGTCAAGAGGTCAAATTAAATACCGCCCAAAAGAAAGTCACAAGAAATACACCTATAGAACATACATGTACCTATAGAACATACACGTGACATGAAAGATAGAGCTCGATCCACACACTCAAAAATAATGGGCAAGGTTAAAGTAATTGCAGAAAATAGACAGACAGACGGACTGACATGACAAAACTATAAACTCCCGAATCCCAAATAATCAATTTTTAATGTTGATAGAACATTATTCGTCGAGGAGAAGATATGAAGGGGAAACATCGACACCTTCACTCAGAATGGATACAGAGTTTTAGAATGTATAAATAATCATATCAGACAGTTTAATAAAGGCAAGTGCACACCATCTTTCCTCTGTTTTTAAAAAAAGAATCTTGAAGGGATAAAAGAATTAAACTTTCAGGATGTAAGTACTAAATATTGAATAATTTCTTTTGCAAAACAGAAGCAACTTATTTTAACATTTCCTTCCACAATTCAATTTAATACGGAAGCCCAATTAGGACCTATCGAAAAATATTTTTGAATCCGATATAACGAATTGTCGAATTTGTTTCAACGAATTTAATTCGCTATAACAATTTCTTTGAATTCGTTATAATGAATTTAATCTGTTATAACAAATTTGTTGATTTTGTTATAAGGAATTCAAAAATTTGTTAATACGAATTAAACTCGTTATAACAGATTCTAAAACTTGTTATAACGAATTGAATGCGTTTAAACGAATTCAATTATTTGTTATAACGAATTAATTTTGTTAACACGATTTAGGCAAATCGTTATATCGAATTCATATATAATTTTCTATAGACTCCGATTATTGAATTTGATTAAACGAATTTAATTCGTTATAACAAACTTTGGAATTTGTTTCAACGAATTTAATTTGTTATTACAAACTTTAGAATTTGTTTAGACGAATTTAATTTGTTAAAACAATTTTTTGAATACGTTTTAACGAATTTAATTCGTTATAGCAAATTGAAAAAATCGTCATAATGAATTCAACTAATTTGTTTTAACAGATTAAAATCGTTATAACAAATTCAAAGAAATTGTTATAATGAATTAAATTCGTTATAACAAATTCGACAATTCGTTATGTCAAATTTCAAAAATATTTTTATAGGTCCTAAATGGGCTTCCGTAATTTAAGACATTAACTGTTCCAAAATAGATATAAACCGAGTCTTCTTGTTTTATCACACCGATCATAGTTATCGAACGGAAATAATCACCACTGAAAAAGAAAACTTCCTTATTTGACATTAACGTTTATCTTTATTTGGTATAGTGAGACAATGTGTCTGCAGTTTATATGTTGGTACACTTGTGGTGCGCTTCCTCAAATTTCATTTAATTAAAAGTACGTAAAAAAAATAGGTCATTGACCCAAAAAGTTGTATGATTAAACAATTACACTATTTTTTATAGTGAAGAATTTAAAATTAACATAATCTGGGAAAACTGACCTTAGGATCAGCAATGAAACCCCACTTTCCTCGAGGATTTGACTTTTTCCTAGTCTGGATTCTATTACATAAGACTGATTCTTTACTTAAAACTGACAGACAAGGTAGGATTATTTTAGAAATTTTATTTCCTATGGTAGAATTTTGAATGATAACAAAAAGACCAGAACATATGAAAATTATACAAGTCGTTAAAATTGTGAAAATCGTACTTTAACAAAATCAATTCGTCATCACAAGCCTTAATATCAAAACAAAGTCAAACAAAATACAAATTGACAAATTATAAAAGCAGAATGTTTTTATCTGGAGTATAATTTGATACATTTTGTCATTATTAGGATATTATTTGGAGCAGACCCTGTATAACTGGACACAGGCGTCAGAGAGTTGTAACCTGGTCGTGTCCAATAGGCCCCTCTTTCTTGGTCAATCAATCACAGACATTCCAATTCTTAAACCTACAGCCTCCAAACAATCTATAGGGCGTCAACCGAGTGATCTTCATTGGATAGGAGCTACAGGAACATTCACACCATGGTTTGAATTGCTGGGTAATTAAATGTTTATTAAGGATTTTCACATTACTGTAGCTTTATTGTAAGATCCTTAATATTTGATTATACAAGAACTCGTCTTGGTTTTTAGCTAGATAATTAAATTTATATTTATGAAAGATACATATTATTAAATAGCTATAAATATAATATTTCATCCCAATAAACTTGAA